GTACATACACTTTGTAGATATATATTTTTTGTATTGGTCAATGATTGAATTTAGGTCGGTTCAAGCTTCATAGAGCTATATGTTATGGCCTTGTTAGTATACTATGCCGACTCTATATACAGCTTATTAAGGTCTTTTCCCTACGTGAGGGAAGACCTTATTGTTTTTTTTTTCTTCCAACATTTTTTTACATGCCCTCCCCTCGTGTCTTTCAGATTAATCAAGACCAAATTTTGACCATCCATCATAGACGTCATCATGAAGTTTTACCAGATGACCCTGTGTAGGATTTCATCATCCCTTTAGAAGTTATCTCTCTTTGATGTTTTTTCGACATGCCCCCTACCCTCTTTGTTTATGAAGATATAATGACTTTATTTGGACAATAGGTAGATCTCATCATAAAATATGAGGAAAACAAAGCCTTCGATCAACAACTTAAAACTGTAAAGAACAGATAATATATGAGATCGAGATAGAACTGGTGTGAAAGGTGACAGTAGAACATTTGGGGAAAAAATTAAAATGTAGATATAGCTTTACACTCAATTAGGATTTTAAGGTAAGTATTTTCGGTTTGTCCGTATTATTTTATTTGAATAACATGAAATGGTGTAGTGCGTTCATGAGACAACAACCCAACAACGATAATATTCAAAAGAATAGAGGGCAACATACAATTCTTCAACAATTGAAAGATGTCAATATGGTTAACAAAGAATCATATGGGAAGTACATATCCGTACACACAACTTCTCGATAACTATATGACAGATTGCATTGATATTGTGCCTGAATAATAAGATTATGGTAATATATGTGTTTTTGGTGTCGATCCAAATATGGCTGCCACAGCAGGACATAGTTTAACATAGGACCTAAAAGAAAATACAAACAAAGATCTCCTTCTCTGAAACTGAATTACAGATTGAAATGATAATTTTGCAGAATGATTAGATCATGGTCCTCTATAACAAAATGTTCACCTAAGCACTGGTGGGGCATATTGACATTTTGTAATTTTAGCATTACAGTAATTACATTTTTTTCTAAAGAATTTTCACTGTTACTAATAATTAAAAATTCAACAAAAAATTACTTTTTTTTTAATTTTGAAACTGCTGTATAAAATAATGAAAGACAACTATCCACCAAATTTCAGATGAAGTGGTTGTTAGCAATTATAGGCAACTGTACGGCCTTCAACAATGAGAAAAACCCATACCATATAGTCGGCTACAAAAGGCCCCGATATGATAAATATGAAAAAATTCAATTGAGAACAATTAACGACCTAATTTATCACGAAACAATTTAAGAATGTCAGAGTGCAGCCCATTTAGAAAACATGGAAATTTGCCAAACCAGACTTGGGGCACTTAAATTCTTCTCCAAATCGTATTAGATCAGGTTTCAAGTAGACAAATCATACATTATTCACTTCTTTATTCATTTTTCTCCATGTATAATATGAACCTTGTATTTATGCAATATATACCACCTGTAGCAGTGCATGTGTATTGTACACATTACGTTATGGTTGACCTATATTTGACCTTATTATTGGACTTTAAAAAAATGATAACATTGAAATCTGAGCTGTGTTATTATGCACTTTTCCCTTTTCAGATATCAGTTGCCAAAATATATATGACATGCATTGGAAGAGCAGTGAAAAATTACATTGAAGCAGACTGAGGAAAACAGTGATTAAAAACATCAAATTGAGAGAGAGAAAAAACATTTTGTAACTCTTTCATGCTGTTCATTCATACGATTACTTTGTATTGTACTTGCAATGGAAGTTATTGCAGTAGATAAAAGATTAAGTTAAACATTTGAGATCTTCATCTTGTTTTATTCAGTAAGAAAAACATCAATTTTGATGAGCAAACCATGTATTTAAATGGTCAACAAATATAGCCACCTGACCACAATTGTAAGGAATAATGTAAGAATAGTAATCATGTTTTTCTAGTATTAGGATTGAAATATTTTCAAAAAGTAACTCAAATCCATGTAACTTGTAATAACTCATGTAACTTGTAATGTGAGGTATAATTGATTAAGTCATTTTTCATGAAAGTAGAAGGTATGACAAGGTCTTTTTGTGGGAATTTATGTTCAAAATTCGAAAAGGTTAATATATGTACCAAATACCATCCTTCAGACATTAACTAGTCTGTTGGACATCAGTATTTAGATTTTTATACTTTTTAACCTATATCTATATGTCCGTCTGTAATATTCAAATCCATCACAGTTTTCTGAGGAAATACAAGTCAAGAGTTTCCTGAAAGTCACCAGTCTTCATGTGAACATGCTATACTGAGTAATGCAGTTTAAAATGCACCCCTTCAACTTCCTATTAACAGGATGGTTATATATTCTAACTCAAAATTGCATGTATAATTTAGTTAAATATGCCTTACAGTTAAGGTTAATAGGATAGATTGCCGATATAAAGAAGAGTTGTTCACATCTAAGTTACTCTCAATGCAGATACTATTCACAATACACAAATTACAAGTGAAAGAAATTGCAGCATGAATGTAAAAAAAAAAAAAAGGAAATCTGTCAATGACTGTCATTAGATTTATTTAACCATTCAAAATCTTACAATGGGCATATAAACAGAAATTTATTTATGAGACCTGGCATTAGGTTTCTTTTTATTATGACAATAAACAATATTGACATAAAATATCATTATTAGAATTGTACCCACCGGATTCAAACTTAAGACTGGAAAAGTGGTTGTATTTTAATTATTCCCTCAGCACACAACATAAAGGAGAAAAAAGCATAGACTGTTCAGTCTGAAGGTACCTGTCCAGGTAGGGTGAAATGTCTTCTTGTAGATTCTCTCTTTGTGGTGAACTAGCATGTTAAAAATTCAGCTCAGTGCATCATTGGTCTAGTACAAAATAGGGTAATTATTTATATCTCAGTATCATGTCCTCGTCCTTATTATGCACCTAACTTGCCACTGGATGACAAAACATCCATCCATCCATCTTCCCAAAAGCAATATACCCAAGTTTACTTGCAATTTTCAAGTCTTGTTAAATATGTTTTGATTTGACCCAAGCAAGACACAGATAATATGGTATTGTCGAATATAAAACCTATATTAATAAGATCTTTCTAAAAACATAAACCATATCAATTGACCGAACAAGATGCAATTTTGACAATAAATGTGTCTTTAACAATTTTTAAGTGATGCATAAAGCCAAAATATTTAAAAAAGCTAAAATAACTGTTGAAGAGCTGGACCTAAAGCAAAGCCAAATCAGAACAAGAAATCAGAGATATATATAAAAAAAAAACATAACAAAATCATCAACATGTCACAATATAGAAAAAGAATGAAAACGGGGAATGTGTCAAAGTGACAACAATTATCCCAACCCAAATGTCCAAAACAACCAAAGACCACCAATACCTCGCTATCAATACATAATTACCTAGTTAATTAGTTTTTCAGTTTCTAGTATTTTTAAATTTATCATCACTGTATTCATTCAAATGTAAACATTGTAACTAGTTGTAAGAAAAATAAACAAAAGTGAACCTAACATAGAAACAAATTAAAACCTTAAAAAAAGATGCACAGCTACGTACTTAAACAAAGGAATTTTTTTTAAATAAACAAATTTATCTATTAATGCGTGCACTGAAAAGTAAGTATATACTTGAACAGTAATGAAAAATTCCGTACGGAAACAGTACTGACTAAATCAATATTATGATGAAACAGTACTGACAAAATCAGTAATGAAATGACAAAATCAGTACTGAAACAGCACAGACGAAATCAGTATTGAAACAGTACTGAACTTATAGAATTTATTTTAGTAATTGTACAGTTTTTGTATAATAATAAACAGTACTGAATTAATAGAAAGTATAAAATTACAAGTTTTTAGTCTTGCCAAACAGTACTGAGGGCAATGTAAGAGGGTAGAAATGTACCAAAAAAAGTTGGTAAATTCTTGGTAGTGTAGTTTCATAGGAAGAGGTTTTTGTAAAAATTAACGGACGACGACGACGACCGACGACGGACTTCAAGGGATGATGAAAGTTCATAAGGACCTCCGATTTAAACGAAAAAAAGCCAACAGCGTAATTAAGTTTAGAAAAAAATTTCATACTCATTAATGAATTAAGAATTAAATAATATTAAAGAAAGATACTATGTTATTAAAACATGGCTAAGATCAATATGATTCAAACTCATTTATTTATAAAACTCAATTAAACTAAAAATGCTTTTTAAAAACTTTATAAAACATTAATTTTGTTAAGAAATTCCACGAAACACATAGTGTGGTAGCTATGAATGATGAAGATAATTGGCTTAAGTGCCCACGAAATTAAAAAAAACTATTTTCATGGCATTTTCCTGTATCCTATATAGCTATCAATGGATATGCTTGTGTTTCCTTTTTTCCCAAAAAGACCTTTATTAACAAACATTCCATGATACATTAATATGATTGCCAAAAAACACATTGATCGTACCTCACATATTGCATGTAAAACCAGTATGTGAACACATCTGTGGACATTGAACACTGAAAAATGTTTGACTTTCTTCAGCTACTACCAGATATTTATTTACAAAATATCACCTGCTGTGTTAGAATACAATGTATATACAATCATTTCTTCTATAAAAGTTGTATTCCATAAAATCAAACCGAAAATTAAGATCCGAGTACAAAATATCTATATACATATATATCATGTCTATTGCACGGGTTCATGTCCTTGTTGAGATATCATAATCATCTTCTGTTTTTTGTCCAAAGAAATGATCATATGTATCTTCTCTCCCTTCGTCATTTCTTTTGTGACTTCCAGAGTCGTAAATAGTATCAACGGCATGGTTATAAATGTTATCCTCTAATTCTTTGTGACGATTACTTTCCGAATGATCGTAGACTCCTTCCTCAGATAAAGCATATTGATCCTCATCGCCAATTTCTTTCCCCGTATCCGTAACAGGCTTTGCAAACTCATAACCTGTAGGAGTTTTAGACAATATTGTTCTATTGAAACCCTTTTCGGATGGATTGAATACCATATAACTTTCTCTTGTTCCAGTTCCGTCGTCTATAGTCCCATTAAAACGTGTTTCAGCTGTCTGATCGACGATCGAATAATCCTCGTCATTTATAGTACGATTATCTGATAATGTTGTGTTACGATGGACTGCATATTCAGGTGTCTGGACTCTTTCTTTATCTACATTGTGGATCTTAGCAATCACAGGTTCACTCTCATAACCGTGAACACTAGTATTGCTACTTTTGCCATCATTTTGCATATGGCTGGATTGATAAGCGCTTAGTTGTAAAGCTATAACTTGACTCCCAATATAGTCGTTTTCCTGGAGTTTATTTCTTATCTTCTCTTTTGGCCCACTTACGAATAAACGCCTGAAATGTATTGTACTGTTTTTGTATATTCGCTTTCATAATGATTTTGAAATTTATCAACATAACATTCATGGGTAGGACTTAAATGGTTTTCTGTTGAAAAATGAAAATTAACATGACTAAGAGTAACATAAACGGTACTAATTTTATTGCATCAGATGCACATTTTGACAATTAATGTCTCTTCAGTGATGCTCGAGCCAAATATTAAAATACCTCAAATATGATACAAATTTTGTAGAGCGGATGAAACTAAAATGGACGCTAAGTATAGTCAAATCCGGACAAGAAATCAGAGCTTTGAATGAGGCAGATATATTCCTTAATTTTAAATAATTTCCAAAATTTAATAACAGAGAATTTTAATCAAACAGTATCCTTATTTTCATGCCAGTACCGGAATACTGGCTAATGGGCTGGTGATACACTCGGGAACTAACAGTCCACCATCAGAGGTTTCGACCCAGTGGTATTAGTAACATACACGGTACAAATTTTAATGCGCTAGATATGAAATATAAATTGTTGGGATACATTATGCATAAAGGTACATGAATAATACGAAGAAACAATTTTTTTTAAAGAATGGACTATATCTATGAGTACCTTCTCACAAGAACAATTATCAAAACTACAATGCATGCTAGTAATAAAGCACCAATAACCAAGCCTACTACCAAACCTGCAAAATATCAAAATAAATATAATAAGTTGCTACAGTATCATAAAAAACATTGCGAATATATGTTCTTATTCACATCAAGTTTCCTCTTACATGTTATTGCTTTTTTCACAATATATTACTTAGGATTAATTTCAACAAAAACAAGTTTTAATGCACATACTGGATCACTGATATCAGGACCTGGATGGGGTCCGTCATTTACGTAACATTAAATAATAAAGGCATTGTCTCTTTTCGAAAATACCGCTTGTTCTGCAAAATTTTTATGAAAGTGATCATACTATTAATTTTTTTCCGCAATCATATGATTTATTTATTCTGTATATCTTTTATTTCTGTATGCAGTATTGTTTTTATTCTATTTTTTTCTACAGTTGTTCTTTATACTTTTGCATCCCATCATTCTGTATTCTTTATTTTTGGACTCATATTGCATTATTCATTATATTATTTGGTCATTATTTTTTATTCTGTTAACCCCATCCAGAACCTCTGATATTTCTTGCCAATCTGTAGTTTATTTTCCTATGCATGCAAACGGTATTTCTTACGCGTTTAATTTCAACTCTTTACAATATCACTTCAGAATTGTTTATTTTGGCACATTTTGATATTTCTATGTTATGATTAAAGCAGCTTCGCCGTTTCATGTTCTGTGTTGTAAACAGAGTATGTTTTATCTTTGGTATCTTATCATCATACATCCACACGATACATAAGCATGCTTTGATACCTTAATTTTAAAATGTGTGAGATTTACCATGATAATGATTGTACATCAATAGACAAGATAGTATTAAAGATCAATATTGATAGGGAGCTACACGCAGATTTTTACTTTTTGCTTTTCCTCACTCTCATACGTTCAGAGGGCAAACAAAATGTATCATCTACAAATAAATTTACAACAGAGGTCCAATGACCTTTCACTCCGGTTTTTGGTGGGGTTCGTGTAGCTCAGTCTTTAGTTTTCGATGTAGTGTTTTTTGTTTAGATGTTGTATAATTGCCAATGAGTTTGAATATTCCTTTGGTAACTTCCGCTTCTTTTTTTTCATACAAACTTATAATGCATATACATATATCAGTAAATGGAATATTTGAGTTATTTTTCAGTCGACATTAGTTTTTCGGAAACGGGAGATTATCCAACTTAAATCATTTCTTATCGCCCTTAACAAAACATTACATATTTAGATATATATATGTCTAACATGTACGATACGGAAATAAATAAAGAGAAATGGTGTTTCAATTCTATTCTCAGTGTATTCACGATGTATGTTGGGTTTTTACATTTAATGATTTCGTAACACGGTAATAGAATCAAAAAGAGTCAATAATTTCCGCTTCACCAATGACATCCATGGCGCAACTTTTGTTTTAATCACATGATTAGTCATCATAAAAGCGGATCTGTAAATGTCTCTTTTCTAACCATCAGACATTTAAAAACTTTATAATTACATACCATAAATACATGTACTCTTATACGCGTATACAAGACACTATCTGAAAGTTTGGAATGAAACCGCAGGTTGCCAGGACTAAGAAATACAAAGAAATACAATAACCTGTATTGAAAAAGATATCTCAAAATTCCACAGAGACCCCTAAATCAAAACAACATGAAACCCGTCATTACATTTTGACTTAATAATGTCCATCTAATGAAAGTAAAAATTAAAGACAATAAAAAAGATACAGAAGGTACCAAACGGACAATTTAAAATACACCTGTGACGTAAATCTTTTGTTTAAACTCTCCATTATTTTTCAGGAATGGAGAGTTATTTTCTATTGTTCGTCTTCATTCATCCGGACGTTTTGCCCTTTGGATATTTCCATGGGCACTTTCTTAAAAAGTGTTCACCCATGGGAATAATTCTAGAGGACGAAACGCGATATTGAATGAAAATGAAATCTTACTAAAACGACTGATACTGGATTTAAAAAAAAATTGGGATCGTAGTAATACAATGAACACTAAATATCTCATTATTAACAAACAGCTTTTATTTGCGAGTCGTAATTCCATCTTGTAAAATATAGTATCGTATTCACTAGAATTCAACAATATAATCCACAATTTGTTTTCCGATGCAAATCATGGCTGAATTTTTTAGTATCCAAATGGGTAAACACGAATATTTTCCATTGAGTCCCATTCCTCTTCTGTGCATCTACAAAATATCAAATGTGTTAACTGTGTGTGAGTCAGTGAATTCTATTGTAATATTGAACACATTAACATTATTCAATAATGAAAGTAAGTGAAAATATATTTCACATAAAGATTTGATTTTAATTTTACCGTTTAAGATATCATTTCCTTGAAATATTTGATTTTGCACAGCAAAAATCGTTTGTTGCATTTTTATATATATATAAATTAAAAACACAAAAATTACTCGGATTGTTTCTACAATAATATTGTGGTTCAATAGAATAAAAAGTCCAAGAAACTGTAATGGTCAAAATGGCGTATTCGGTATTTATTTGATTGTTCGTTGTTATAATTTAAATATAGTACTTATGAATAAAATTTGAGGGTTATGGATAACATTTGAATAAGACTTGTATAAAATATTTGGCGGGGTTTTTAATCATTGTTCAACAGAAACGCGCAACATAATCGAATTCATTCACTGTTGTTATATGTCCAGTGGCAAATATAACAGTTATATCGACAGTGCAAATAAACGGCGTTAATCTTGAAATAAATGTTTAAATGAAATTAAAAGGTAGACTGTTGTCCACTTAAGTTAAATACATACAAAACGGAATCCAGAAATGTTTTTAATCATGCGGATTTTTGTTTCTAAAACTTTTTTGCTTCCTTTCTGATAATAGGGAAGAATGAAACATACTTTCAGTTTGCTTGTATAGCTATTGCTTGTGTTAAATATTGGGCGGGGTTTTTAATCAATTTTCAACAGAAAGGCGTAACATAATCGAATTCATTCACTGTTGTTATATGTCCAGTGGCAAATATAACAGTTATATCTACAGTGCAAAAAAACGGCGTTAATCTTGAAATAAATGTTTAAATGAAATTAAAAGGTAGACTGTTGTCCACTTAAGTTAAATACATACAAAACGGAATCCAGGAATGTTTCTAATCATGCGGATTTTTGTTTCTAAAGTTTTTTTGCTTCCTTTCTGGTAATAGGGAAGAATGAAACATACTTTCAGTTTGCTTGTACTGCTATTTAAAAAAAAACGCATACACGTTTTGTTCGTTGTAATTAGCAAAGGGAAGACAAAATGTTGTGTTGTGCATGAAATACTATTTTCTTGTTTCATTTTATTTCATCAAATAAAATGGTTTGAAATATAGAATCATTTTGTTTTCGATATGAGTTTAAATCGAGCACACCGTTTTTAGTTAAATAACCTTTACTTATACTAGAGTGTTACATACCTGGAAATTCATTCTAGTTGTACCATTTCACTTTTCTCAGACGATTCTACATCTAATACTTATCAAACGGAAAACACATATAATCCATTAGCATATATGCATAAATACTAATTGTTTTTTTTTTTAATCTCCCGAAATACCACTTAAAGACACAAATAAATATCCTTTCAATCCCACTACAAGAAAGACGTGCGTATCCAATGACTTTAAACATAAATCTAAATGAACTTTATTCAAGATATTTTTATAGTACTTATTCTACTGTTCATAAATACTTCGTTAAGTGAGTAGATGGTCAGCTTGATCTTAAATTTTGCCTGCGGATTCTTGGGTACAACACGGGGAAAATGAAAAGAAAACCATTACAAAATTAAATAAAATTCTTTAAAATGATATAATCTGAAGATTCGTTTTTAATATTTAAGGTGTATTTTAAGTTAGCGAAAGTCCAAATAACTGTCTATTCCTGGGAAATAATGGGCGTCGATTACAATAATTGGAACATAGCCATGGTCATATATGACACAGATATTCCATAATTGTTACATACAGACCACATAGCACCATTTACAATACACCCCAGTATTTCCACAATCCGGTTTTCTGAAGAAAGAAGCAGACAATGAAAAAGACAGAACACAATAACATAAAGAAAAAAAACAACAATAACGAAAGCTAACAAGAACACTTATGATCAAGCTACGAGTATCCCATAAAACATCGGGGATTCACACATTTAGGAATAGTAACCATTTTCTGATCAACTATTGGCACCTTGTGTTTAACTCATCACAATTACAACTATATGATAAGTTGCACTCAGTATTGTCACAATCGAGAACAAAAAAGACCGGGATTATCGTAACAATGAGTGGAAAATATTCAATGGTAATTTCAAACGTAGATATTCCACAACGGTCAACAAAATCATACTTGGTGTTCGAATTGATGACTTCAACAATACCACTCGGACTTTTGATGCAACAGTATTTCTTTATCAAGCAAATCAAGATAGGAAAGGCAAACCTTGGAATGTCGTATCAACTGCAGTGGTGGTCGAGGCAAATATTTTTGAAAATCAAAACCGTAGTACTGGTTACTGGGCTAGGAATACGCTCGGTACTAACAATATACCAGCAGAGGCATCAACCAAGTTATACTTTAACGGAACCAGCATTTTTCTGCATGAGATGCAAGATACTAGGAACACACAGAAACTGAGGAAACCACCTGAAATCCAAAAGGTGAACGCTCCGTTTTAAATCTGCCTCATAAAAATAATGAAACAAGTCAGCATGCAAAAAAAGTACAGTTGGTTCCTATATGCATGTCTAATGTTTGTTGAAAAACCTGTTCTCCAAACGACCATTTGAATTTCAAAAGAAATAAGGAATTAGAAAAAAGACATTTACCTGTTGCCGAATCATTTGAATTTGTCATAACTGTTGCTACTGTAACACCTTGATCACTGACTGTAAAAATAATGAATTTATATTTGATTGTAGTTATTGAAAACTCGCTGTGTAGAATATTGCATTTAATTAGCGAGTGTGGGAACTGAATAAAGAAATAATGCGTTCTGTGTAGTTATAGTTTCGATAAAAAAACATATAACATCCAAAGAAACCTATTAATGGAAGAATATCTTGTTGACGTCTTAAGTTTTTAAAAGTTTGATTCGGTTAAGTTTTATGTTTTGAAAAAAAAGCAGATTTCTCAGAAATAGCGATTTAGTATGATAGTTTTATATGAGCAAATTAGTTAACTCGAATGTGATTATTAACTGAACGTCAATGGTTAAATACGGCAATATTGTAACTGAAAAATCGTCACGTACCAATTTAGATTCCATTTATATGCATGTACCTTTTCGAATTAATATATTGTGCAAGCAAGTGAATATGCATAAAAAGTACACAATATATCGTCGTGATATTTTTTTTAGTTCTTAAACAAAACAGAATTTTATGTAGATATCCTAGACAAAACTTTCGCTATTTACAGATTACATTTAGCAAAACAAGCAACGTTTATTTCAATTATTCATTTCAATTTGATAAACAATGATATAGAAATTTCCGAGTCTGATCTGGTTTTGCTTTTTTGCTTAATGGAAAGAGGATCACTCTTGTTTCGTTTTATGTTAATATGCATCCATACCTGCACTTGAACTTTCTATTAATGTAATAAATGATGATGCTGTCGTAGTGTCCAAATCTGTAAATATCTTTTTCATGAATATTTCCTCGACATTATTATAAAAAAATGAATAAAACATAATATGGTTTTCATGATTCAAGCACAAACGTAACTATATCAACATTAAAATGTGAAGTTTTTTCTTGTTCGGTGTCATTGTTGATTAAAAAAAAAGCTATTATCAATGAAATTATCAAAACAAAACTGTTTCATAAACAATAATACTGTTGGATTCTTAAAATTACAAAAAATAGTGTCGAGTTAGCATAGTTGCTTTATCAATGGAAAGCATTATAATCATGATAATATGTCTTTCTCAAGAACACATCCGAATGACTTAATTGTGATTATCTAACTGAATGTCATTATTAAAATACGCCGATATTGTTATTAAGAACATACTGTTACAGATCTATTTTAATCTATGTTTCGTCTAAGCAAAGATATTTGGCAAACAATAGCAATGCATGTTACATGATTTTAGTTTTTGTTTCATTTTTACTCTTTTAACATTTTTTTTACAAAATTGATGTAAATCATATTTACCAACGAATGATTTACAAACGTTATTGTAAAACATTATTTTCTCACAAAAATCAATGCAATTTGACATTAAAATTTTCGTCACTTGATTTCCTAAATTGCGAACTTCAGATAATTTTTATAATGTCACTTCTGTCCAATCAATATACATGCATGTAACATGTAGTGTACCGATGTTGACATCTCATCAACCGATTTAGACAAATCAAAAAAACAAACACAAACTGAGGTATGCATATTTCAATATATTTCAAGAGATTATTGTCCCCCTCAGTTGTTATATAGCAACCCATGCTTGCAGCTGAGGTTTTAAAAATACCAACTTTGTTTTGAGCCTTAGTTGGGAAGTTCCTTAATCGCATTGCTGCATACTATACCATTTAAAATGATAATATATAATGTGCTACGTGCAGTCGTAGATTTTAACCAATCAATTTGCTTCTAAGGATTTTCCAATAGTGATTGAAAGTAATAAAAGAATAATTTACAGTCAGTGACCGAAAATACACTAAAACTGTTCATAATCATAAATTTCTTTTTCGTCAAGATAGAGTATGGCCACTTTATCATTAGTGATTTATATTAATTAACAAACTGATCTCTTCTACATGTAAAATCCTATCAAACAAAATTGTCTATTCGTGGATATTTTAATTCGTGGAATTTTATAATTCTGCATACAAGGTTGTAAAAAAATTATGCTTCGTTGAACATTCATTTTCGTTGTAAACTTCACACAGAAAATCCACAAAAATAGGTACCCCTCGAATTATAAATAATCCAAAGAAAGTGACGTTGTAAAATCTGCAAATTTAGCAAGCAATAGTAATTTAAAGTTCTCGATCTGTTTGACAATTTCTAAACATGCTTAACTGACCAGATGTACACAAATCGATCGTTTGGAGTGTGTATTCACAGTAATTGTCAATTTTCTGAAGAAAACAAATAGTGTTTGAAGGTTATCTAACTTTGGTTATTTATGTTTGTAGTAAAGCAAAAGCAAATGTGACAAAATTGAAAATATATTTGGTGTGTCCGACGTAATTTTCTGTTAAAAGCCGGTGTTGTTGAAATAGTACAACGTTTGATTTTGTCAGGTTTCAATGGATTCCCACTTGTTTAATGTACCTTGGGATTCGGTATTTTTGTTAATACTTTTTTAAACGAAGGAGCTATATGAACAACAAAGGTCTCAACAGAATAGTCAAATAATAATCGGTCGACTTTGACTGAGGGAGTAGGAACTTTAATTTCTTAATAATTTCTCAATTAAACTTTTTTAGAAATGCATGTAATAAATCAGGTCAATGGCGAAACACTGAATACTTGGTTGATGTTACTCTCGAGAACTGACAGTTCACTATCAGTGGTTCTTCCATAATGCTAGAAAATTAATATGAAACTTGTTGCCTCAAGTTTTTGTTTTTATTAACCTTCACCGGCAACGCTTACAACCAAAAATGCGAAAGCCAAGAATCAAGAAATACATTTTAGGAGCTACATATGATGTACACACAGATTCGTGCTAAGCCTGCAAATAACAATTTCGTAAAAAGAATTAATTTCACAATAAAGCAGGATAAATGTGTGAATTATGAATTCATATGGAGAATCATTTCATAAGAGGAATTCATGCAACCTTATCACGCAAACGGTTACCCTGTAAAAACACGAGTTTTTATACCAGATTGGATATGTCAAGGTCCCCATATTCATGTAACCTCCAGATTTTAATATATATTTCAAATATGTGCTGCGTTCATGTACCTGTAATGATGTGTTTCTGCTATTGCTTTTCCAAAACATAAAAAAAATGCAATATACATATAAATAGAAATTCACGCATTGATATATGCCTTTATATTTACTGGGGAATGTTTTTTTCTCTTGCTTTGTCTTGTGAATAAACAGGAGCAAATAAATCCTAGCACATGGCCATGATGATCACGATATTAATCAACTGTCGACACCCTGATTTTCAAAATTGATAATACTTACATCATAAATTTTTGCTCACCTTCACATGTATGCAGTATCCGAAATTCGTACAATTGAAAACATTCTGGTTGAAAACGTATATCAGTAGACAGATCAAACAGACATTTTTGTGAATCAGCAACGTTTCCACAGTCTGTCAGAAGACGTTTCTTAGTCTGATCATATATGTTAGAACATTCCTTCCTTTGAGGGTCAAATGATATGCGTGCACTCTGAAGATCAAGATAGCCTTTGGGACAAAACGTTTCTTTAGATAGTATGCCTTCCACATCTACACATATTTCTTCTTGATCAAATAACCCTGCAAAGATATTTAACATAAAACAAAAAAAAAACCTATCTTTATTGATACTGTACACATTACAACAAAATATATTTTTATC